ATTCGGTACCTTTTCTCACAAATTTTCATATTTATTTACGAAAGATCGAACGCAATTTTAATATCAAAAATAATCTCCTTTCGTCTGTGAAAATTTACGGCGATTTTGAGTCGATAATGTTGTCAACGCGTGAAGAAAGACATATTCTTCAAGAATACACAATTTTTGTCCCGTTAGAAAAATTCAGTTCCAAAGGCAACTTCGAATTTTCCTTTCGTCGAGCCAAGTTAATTCGATTTTTATGTAAAACGTGAAACGTTGAATACGCGAGATAAGAAAAATTCGCGCTCCTTTGTTTCCCGCGAATTATAGGCGTCAAGGGAATTTCGTGAATTGCGATTAATAGCTTGCGAAACGAGGTTATGGGCTGCCAACTACTTAACGTACGTTTTGCATAATTCATCGCGTTTTCGCAATGTCGCGTTCACGAGGCCGATTAACAGGAGACGTAATTCACGTTAGAATCGCGTTTTCGTTCGCCTCTATACATTCTTATCCGTCATTTGTATTCCGAACTCACGACGAATTAAACCTCGCCGGTTTGAATTCCTCCACGGAAATTTAATCGTTTGATTTTGTCTCTACGTAAAAAACCGCTCTCTGACAGGGCTATTTAAATTTACCAATTTCTACGAACGGAATGGGTAATCGCGAATCGAATTTGCATATCGCGTAATTTTCCTAGATTCTATAATTGGTTAAATAGTGTACGTTCCCGGAGGGCGCTCGGAGTATGGCGTAAACTTTGGAAAAAGGGAAATTCCGTGGCAGAAGGTGTATTTGCAGAGGCATGACGACTGCAACGAGAATTTATTAGGTGTGTTTGCAGAGCAAATACGCGAGGAAAGGAAGCGTTTAAGGAAGATATTTACGAGCGTGCTAAGAAAGATAGAAAGTGTCGTGGATTAGTTCTGGAACCTAGAAATACGAGAGCTTGCCACTTCATTGTTACGAATATACTTTTGCGAAAATATGAAGCTTGCGGAAAACGTGGAACGTGGTTTTCATAATATCGTACATTTCACTCTTTTTCTCTTTAATATAGAAACTTGGAGTATAAAAGTGAGTTTATAATTGGGATGGACAAATTTTTGAAAACGTTCTATTGTTATTAAGAGATCCTCTCAACGAGTCAAATTTTCGCGTTACGTTTAAAAACATATCGATATAGTCTAGACGTATTACAGTAATGGTATTATTACGAATCAGAGGAAATGTATGTTTTATTCAGATCCACGTCCTAACCCTCGCTCAACATATATATATATTTCACGATCTTCTATTCGACGGTGACCATAAATTTACAGGAATAAATACGTCGATATTTCTGGCTGATGTCAGCTGGATCTTGAATTTCAATCCTGCTTTTCTGCCTTTTCCCTTTTTTCCACCCTTCTTCTCTTTTTTCTCCCAGCTCTTCTTTCGCACACTCTCTGTTCTCCAACTTTCTCTGTAATCCATATTCAGGTGTTAAATAGTGTTTCTCTTTTCATCCACTCTCGAACCCTTTGTCTCATCAGCACCGCCTTTAAACTCCCTTCTTCTTCCTTCTTTTTTCATCTCATTGATCGTCCACTTGCTTCTTTTTTCTTCATACACTTGATCCCGAGCGCCGTATTTCACTTTTTTCCCCTCTCCTTTTAATCCCTTAGATCCTGAACAGTCGGTTTGTACTATTTCGTTGTTTTAGTTGGAACTTTCTACCCCCTGTGCGGTTCTCCCTTAAATTCGTCCCCTCTTTCAACCGTTTCAACCGGGCGCTCTCTCTCTCCTTATCTCCCGTTGATATTTTCATGGCCTTATATTTTGTATTTATTCCGCTTTCCAACGTTTCCTCCTGTTTTCCCTTTAAAGTACCCGGGAGTGCCATAAACAGCGCATAAATGTTCCCTTATCGCTTCCTGTTTTCCTCGATCTCTCATATTATCTCTATTCCTTTTAATTTCCTGCTATTTTTCAAGTGTTTCCGTGTCGTTTCTCTCCCCCTGCCTGCCACGCTCGTTTCCTCCCCTTCGTCAATTCTAATTTTCCTACACCACTTGCCCATTTGCTTCACCTTCCTTCCTTCGTCCCCCACCTTTCTTCTTTCACTACCGTTTAATAGTATCGTATCTCTTCCTCCTTCGTGCCCCGTCTTTTCTCCTGGTCTAATTGTCTTCGTTTTGACCCTCATTACAGACCATTTTTCTCGCTCCACGTCTCACCCCTGTTCTCGTATGACAATGACTCACCATTGTCTTTATTTTTTCTTTTTCCCCCACAGCTACCCCTACCTTGTTCCGGTGTCTATCGACCTCCCGCTCAGCCTCGTATTTCTTTATCTACGTCTCAGCATTGACCTCTTCTACGTTTCTTCCTATCCCCATTTCTCTAACTTTACCCCCTATCTCTATTCAAATCCATTTCCTCCTCTCCTCTCGCGCTCCTTCATTGCTACTTCTCTCCTGCGATCTGTCTGCGTTTTCCTCTGCCATCTCTCCACTCACAATCCAACGTTCTCTTTCTCTGTCTGTTTGTCTCTTTTTTCTAGCGGATCGTTCACCCTGCGACGGCAGGGTGCAGGCATCACCTCGGCGTGATTCCACGTGTGCGCGCGTTTCGCGATGACAAAGCTAGATTTAAGCTCCGCGCGACTTGTAAGCGGAGCTTTCCAGCTGCCTCGAACTCGGCCGTGGTCCGCTACAAGCTAGGCGCTTGCATAACGATTTTCCTCTCCCCCTGACGTTTTGTTATCAGCCATAATAGACTGCCGTTCCGCGGCGGGAGCGCAAAGCGAACGCGGAGATTTAGAGAGACACTCGGGGATGTGTCCCCGCGAACGTCGAATGGGGGAAAAAACAGGAGAAAAAAGCCTACGGGAGGAGAGGAAAACACACGCGTGCAGAATGGCCACCTTTTGTGCCGCGTAATGTGCCCCACACAGGGAGTGTATCGCCTGCTTGCCAAATATTTCCCGCCGGATCGCTCGGTGCCCAGAGCAACGAAATCCGTGTATCGTTTTCACGCGGTCTTTGTGAGAAGTCGCGGCCTTCGGATTCGCCGCGTGCTGAATTTTTTAACGCGTTCCGTATCGAATATTTTTGCCGAAGGTGTGATAGTATTTGTGGTATGAATTCGCCGTGGGATGTTCGCTCGCGGGAAAATCAGTCGAAATTGTGAGATGAACTTTTGCTTGAGAAGCTTCGGTTTTTTCGGAATAATTGGTTTTTTTGAAGATCTCTGGGGATCTATTGTTGTATTTTTCTATTTTATTTTTGGAGTATTCAAAGTGATTTTGGGGAATCAAATTTTTCATCGCTTAATGCATACTTTTGCGAAAGAAAACAATTTCTAAAATTGCACTCTGTTTGCTAGCGATAGTGGAATATTTCAAATTCGACGAAATTTATTTAAACTTCGAATATTCTCGTGTGTCGAAGAAAAGATTTACGTTCGATACTCTGTAATCTACCTCATATGGGACAAATTATCAACAATTTTCTGCCATCAAAAACTTGGAGAAATTAGAGAATTTGTCTGGTATTATCGAGGATAGGGTGTGTTTTGTACTCGTTGATTAATTTATAATAAATACTTTGACGATCAGATTAATGACGGTAAAAATTGAGGAGCAGTGCAGAAAATTGTACGTAAACGTCGAAGATAAGCGGCTGAACTGGAGTGAAAAATGAGATACTGTCATCAAACACAATTAACGAGCGGGAATAAGCACGTTGCAACGTGCACTGATCTTAAACGCCAACAATTTCGTGTTCCGTTAGGTTTCCATGTATATTCCGGACTACACCTGCATCTCGAATTAATCTCGCTCGTGATAATGCGAGAATTGAGTGTACGAGAGTACACGGCACACATTCTTCCTCCTCACTGCCTCCTAGAAGCGAGATCTCTTTCAAGGTTAGTGGGTTAATTCCCAAAAACGATGGATCGTCGGGAACGAGACGAGTGAAAAGTTTGAAAGATGATAGTTAGAGCTCTTTGTCAATTGCAATTAATTCCTATTTTCAGGAAAGAAGAAAATTGAGAAAAAGCAGAGTGGAAAGTAAAAAAGAAAATGGAGCTCTTTGAAATTAGAATTCCATCACAAATTCTGGATAAATGACTTTAATATTGCACTTACGACGCTAGTTATTAATACTAATTAATTCCTATTTTCAAGAAATAATGAAATCAGGAACAAAAAGAGCGAAAAATAGAAAAGGAAAATTCCAGCTCTGTGAAATTAGAATTCCATCGTGAATAAAAATAGTGAAAAATAGAAAATAACAAATTCGAGCTCTGAAATTAGAATTCCCTCGCAAATCTTGAGAAAATGATTTCACCAAAGAAGCCATTCGTTAATATTACACTTAGGGTGTTAATTACAAGCAGCAGTTAATTCCTA